CATGACTGTGTATCTAGCCTATCAAAGTACCCGGTAATTAGGAATGAAGGGCCGGCAATCCCCTTAAACCGTTACTCAATAGCTAACCCACCCCTACCCAAAAGACGACAAAAGATCAAGAATGCAAAGGAAATAATGATGATGCAGAGACAAAAGTTCAAACTCTCACATCGGCATATGCGTTTTGTTAGCGGTTATCTTGTCACTCATTTCCTTTCTTCGTTGTTCTTGTTTTTTTTTTTTTTTTTTTTTTTTTTTTTTTCCCCTCCATTTCTTTGGCAGTTGTTATCTGTGTGCTACGGAGTATACGGAGTCCGGACCATTGTTGGCCTTGTTTTTTTTTCTTTTGTTCTGAAGGTGGAAGTGCGCTTGAAAGGATTGTTTTTCTTCTAATATATATATATTTTTTATATGCGTCCATGTCCCCTTTTGCTGGGCTTGAGCGGGTTCGGGTATGGGGGTGGTTGGGGGGTTGGGCTAGTTCAGTTGGTCTTTGAATATTTTCTTGCCTATATAGCCGTGGACCCTAAAAGGTGCAGTTGGGTCTTTGGGAGCGGTGTGGGGGTGATGGGGAACCGGGTGGGGATTGGTCGAGGGAGCGGGGAGTGGGGGTGGAGGGGGGAAGGTGGGTTGGCTTGGGGGGGGGAGGTGTACATGATAAAGGGAGAAAAATGTATTTTTATTGCGGGGGAGTGTTGCAACACGTGTTTGAACCCCTGCTCACCTGTCGTGTTTTTGCGGAAAAGCCGGGAGCCCACCGTTTTCTTGTTTAACGAGAATTCAATGCGGCTCTGGGGGATTGAATTGGTTATTGGGGGGGGGGGGGGGGGGAGCAGAAGGTGGGTTGGCTTGCAGGGGGGAGGTGTGCATAAAAAAAAGGAGAAAAATATATTTTTAGTGTGGGGGCGTGTTGCCACACATGTTTGAATCCCTGCTCACCTGTCATGTTTTTGCAGAAAAGCCGGGAGCCCGCCATTTTTTCGTTTAACGAGAATTCAATGCGGCTCTGGGGGATTGGATTGGTTTTAACGCCTGTTTCACTGCAACCCCGAGCGTTGAAAGGACACCCAGTGGATCTTCGAGACGACCTTGGGTACCTGCAGCATCAAGCAAGTTCTCGATGTGTGGCAATGGATACGCATTCTTTCTTGTGATGCAGTTTAGACCGCTGTAATCAATACACATCCGGAGCTTACCTCCTTTCTTTGGGACAAACAAAACATGAGCACCAAATTCAGATTCACTTCCACCTTTTGTAAATGATCTCATCAGTTTGCCTCCGAAGTTCCTCCAATTCACCGGGTCGTATACGGTACACACATCCCTTCGGAGGAACAACGCCTTCAATCAAATCAATCGTATGCTTGACCGATCACGGGGGGACTCGACGCCGTTCGGCTAGAACTTAGGGAAATCGGTTGAGCAGGCTCTAGAAGTTTGCTGGGATTTTCGGGGGTGGAGGATCAGAGCAAGGGTCAAGCAAGCCAGGCCACAACTTAGCAGCAAAGGCCACCAAATTCGAAGTAGAACCATTTGGGTAGAGTAGAAGCACAAGATAGGCACATCGTGCAAACTAGAACTAGTACTAGCAGCAAAAGAAGAACGCACATGAGTAGGACGACCAAAGGCAACATACAATTGTTCATCTTTATTGTCTTTGCGCCACTTCTTGCAGAATTGCATGGCATAAAGAAAAGTCACTGGGGATTCGTCCTTATCATCCAAGAGAACAGGACGCTCGTTCCCCTTAGCATCATGTATTTCGAAGAGTGATTCCTTCCACTTGGTTCTTTTGCATTGGGACTGTAGTCATCCCAACCCAAGAACTGCAACGAAGGGACACTTTTCGAGGACACAGAAGTTCATCTCTCGCGTGACTGTTTTATCCTTGTCAAAGGTAGTGCGCACACCTTTGACAACATGCGTAGATAAAACAACTTTCTTGCTTACTTGGGTTAGGTGACAATGATGATCGATCCGATCTCCCTGAGCTGTTTGTTGCGGGATTCGTAGAGGTGGACCATGCAGCCGAGTTGCCGTGTTGTCCCAGAACACATCCGCCGAGAAGCGCTTGTCCGCTGTCATTTTGCAATCCAGTCTACGTAAATCGTGACCGACATTGAAACTGGTCGAGCCTCCTCTGTTACGTCGAGGGGCCGCCTCATGTCCTTTATGTTGTGCCTTGGGAGGAGTTCGAGAAGGTTGCAGACCCCTGACCTGGCCAGAGACAGCGAGGCCGACCTTGTATGAGGGCGCGATAGACATGCTGAGTATGGTTGCCCCTGGGGACAGGAGGCCGAAGAGACGGGTGAGGGTCATATGAGGACAGGTGCTTTCGGTGAGAAAGGAGTAAGGTACATCGTTGGGAGGAAGAGTGATGAGTTAGGACGAGGTGGGGAGGCGATCAGGAAGAGGGACATGGACTGATCAAATGGGTTTGCATCGTTGGGAGGAGAGGGACGAGTTGGGACGGCTGAAAAGACGTGCATGTGCAACGTCAGGGACTGCGACTGTCCAGGTGAACCTGCAACGACGGGAGGGGGCAAACGAAGTGAGGAGGAGGACGGCTGCAGGTAGCAGGGGCATCAGGGACGGTTGCAGGTGGCATGGGTGTATTCGGGGTGAGGGGGAAAATTGTCCAGGTGAACCTGCGATGCTAGAAGGGGGGAACCGAGTCATGAGGGGGTCGACTGCTAGTGGCATGGGCACAAATGATGCTTGCAGGTGGCATGGGCGTATCGGAGGTGAGGGGGGGAAGACTGCAGGTAGTGTATCGGAGGTGAGGGGGGGAAGACTGCAGGTAGCGTATCGGAGGTGAGGGGGGGAAGACTGCACGTACCGTATCTAAGGTGAGGAGGGAAATATTATATTGTAATCTGCATGGACAAAGCAAGTCGTTGAACAAAAATGTGTTGCGCAGCGGGTTACCAAACGTGATACTCGAGGGTTACCAGCTAGAAGGCCTGGGTCACCTTGATTGCCCGCACCGCCCAGCCTTGCAAGGGCCCAGGAAGGTCCCAGAAACAAAAAGAAAAAGGAAAAAAAAAAGAAAACTGAACAACTTTTCCGTCGGGGTCACCTGGAATCTCTCTCTCTCTTCTCTCTCTCTCTCTCTCTCTCTCTCTCTCTCTCTCTCTCTCTCTCTCTCACACACACACACACACACACACACACACACACACACACACACGTGTATTATATTGCGGTTACCTTGGGCACTGAATTATTCAACTTGCAGACAGGGCTGCAAACCTGCTATGTTAAGAAATAAACCTCTCTTTAAGATTGGAGGCAAGGTAAAGCCACTAGAAGGCAAGGTGAAGTCACTAGACACTGACAAAGATGTGTGCTAAAAATGGCATAACAGGGTAGAGTTGAGGACATATTACGATGCTGCTTCTCAATTCCGCACATCAGATTTTCACTCGGCGCTGACAAGGATAATCAAATCTTCAGATAGAGTTGTGAGATAGACACCTACAGCCAAGCTACGATTACAGAACAAATGGACTCAACGGTCCATTTTCGTCCCCACTATCAGACTGACAAAATTTGTGCGTTCATAACGGTCTGCCGATGTGCAAAATGTGAGAGATCACTGCATCAGTCTTCAAACTTCAGAGCAACAGGACCTTCCGGTATTTTCATGTTCCCATTAGCATGTTCTGATGGCCATCATGACCCATCTGCTGTACAGCTTCACTCACTTTTTGGCTTGAGATGATGGCAGCCGACTACCTAATCAGAGAGACAGTTGCAGGAATGCCTCTTTGGTTGTTTGAAATGACGAGGGATTTCTTACCACCACATCCAGTAGATAAGCAGGTCCACATGTCAACAGATTAGAACCACCTACAGCTCAGAGGGATGCGTAAGAAGATGCAAGGTGCAACAGACCCACAGGGGAAGCAAAATGCCAAGCTATGATAAAGGAAAGGGAAAGCAAAATGCCAAGGTAGAATTGCCGTCAGCTCTCTTGATTAGCAACGAAAAGACAATTCCCTACCGACGGGCCTAGCTCCATTGGTACAGCTATGACGGCTGAAACACAGACTCAAGTTCGCGTCCAGACACTAACAGACGAATAGAACAAAGTCGTTCTAAATTTCCTGGGGCCGGTCAGTTCAACGATCTGGATGTCAACAGTTTAGGACAACTTACAGCCCAGAGGGCTGCATAAGAAGATGCAACGTGCAGCAGATCATACACTGAGATCCTCAGGGCAAGCAAAATGCCAAGCTGTGACAATGGAAAGGGAAAGTAAAATGCCACGTCATCTCCTCTCTTCATTAGCAATGAAAAGACAACCTCCTACCAACGGGCCCAGCTCAGTTGGTATGAGCGGTTGAAATACAGACTCAAGGCACTAACAGATGAACAGAACAATGCCATTCCGAATTACCTGGAGCCGGTCAGTTCAAAGATTACATCTCAAGGTAGTCAAGGCCATTGCCCTTTTTTGTTGTAAAAAAACTTTTTAAGTCTGAAGTACGTGTACGATTACCAAAATGTGCCTTAGTACTAAGGCAATTTCATACAAAGGTCACAGGTACGAGAAGAGAGAGAACACAATTTCTCCAAGGACCTGGCAGTGGCAGGACTCCTATTCATCAAGGAGTGGACACGAGGCAGGCAAGAGAAGCAAGCAATGAACAGTTAGGAAAGAGACTCGACAATTGATCGGATGCAAATGTTTGTCTGCAACCATATCACAATCATAGTAGTACAAGTTCTGCGTCCAAAAAGGCACACTCCAAACCGACTATCATGCGTGGAAGTTTCAACTGAATCCAGTGCAGACACTACACTGTTTACACAGTCCAAACAATCCAGGTACAGATGCTTTCAAGTTCTAAAGCTGGGATGCTGTCAATCCGCAGTGCGGAACGATGACTAGTGCTGACTTGTGCAAGCAAGACGTCCACTGATCCGAGCATTTTAACTTCAGACCTTCCCCATGAAGAGAGAAAAGTGCACTTCCTCGAAAGACATTGACCATAAGCATTCAAGAGCTTTTCTTAAAATCGCAGGCCCTCCACGATTAGGAGAATGATTTGACAGAACATGTACAGGCATCAATGCAACCACAGCCAAAAACCCAAGTTCGTCTTTGTATTGATCGGGTCCCAAACCTGCTTGCGTGGAGTATGACCAGAATTCCAACAAGTTGATCTGTTTGGCAGAATCATTACATTGTATACTGCAGACTACCTTCTCCAGATGAACAATCAAGCACTGCCGTCCTTTCCACCAAAACAGACTCTGACCCTCAAACGGTGCAGACTTCTGAGACAGCACTACTCTTCCCACCTATGTACTCAATGCTGAACAATCAAGCACTACCGAACAATCAAGCCCTTCTTCACCACTCTTGAGGTTGGCCTCGGCAAGAACCGGGCCGCCAATTCAACAACAGTCTCTTCTACAGCACAGAGACCTATGAAACCTACCTAAGTACTGCGTCCCAAGTTCCGCCAGACTGGTGAATTATACCCTGGAATTGTGGTACAAATCCCTGAGTTGTAAATCAGTAGAAAGTCAACGATTTGGGGGGAGGGGGGGGCAAGGGCAACGGCATTGGCGTGCCGAGTTTTCCGACTTAAAATAATAATGAGATAGAACCCGAAACATAGCAACAGCTCAAGCTTCAAACTGCATAACCGCTTGAATCATCGCATGGACGTCAATCCCAGGAACAAGACGGTTAACGAGGCCATCCAGCCTGGAAAACAAACCAATGTAAAATGACCGAGGAAGTTCTCCTCTGCAGTGGTCATGTGCATTAGCCAGTTCAAATTGGAACTGTCTGGGATGCAAGTCATGAACTAGAAATAACCTGTTTCTAAGAGTTCGTGCAGGACTAACCAGGTGGTCAGAGGCAAGAGCGTATGCAGAAGCCCACAATTATTACCTGTCTGGCTTCATCAGCTGTTTTCCAAATTCAAGCATGTCATCTCTGCAGCTGGTTGTTTCTTTGAGGATCATTGCTAAGAAGGGCTGTACAAGGCAATGATCTGCTCACTTCATCAGTAGCTTCGACAAACAACTGCTTCACAATCCACCAGTTCAAGATCCATCCTTGTAAAACATGCACTGGAGACACATACCTTGATGACCTTTTTGCTAACCGAGATGTGCTCTTCTCACACCCATATCATCCTCCGACTCCTCCCACATGCTTTAGAAAAAAAGCTTGACCTCTCTTTCAGCTACGATACCGCCTTAATGCAAGCCATGTGCAGGAAACCACAGCAGGTCAGCCACTGCAGCCATCATAGAATATACACACTAACTACTGTACACAAGGAAGTGAGTGTGCAAGCAAAATGACTTCCCTCCCATGGAAGCTCCTTGCGCTTGGTTTCTGCCTTCAGGCTCATGGCTGTGACGAGCGATGCCCTGATCGGTTTCACTTACGCCCAGCTGCCAAGGGTCCTTGCCCTGTCATATAAGATGATGACATGCGTGCACTCACTCACCTGGCGTGAGCTGTGCCAAGCAGTCGCCTTGACCATTTCGAGGAGGCCCAGCAGCCGGGGGTCCTTGACCTGGCATGTAAGATGATGATATGCATGCCCTCACTTGCCTTCAGGCCAGGATCACAGCTGGTGTGACACACCACCCACACACCACTCACCACTTCCACATACCTTATCCGACGTAGGGATGGTGATAGCGACCTAAGAGAACTAGACGCATTGGCTCTTTGTTCAGCACAAGAATTTGCATACAACAAAGCCATCAAGGAGCCGTCCAAGTTTCTCTCCATGCAGATGTGACATTTTCCAGCATGGACCCCATAGATACCAGCAATTGAAGATCCTCGCATTGACAGAACTAAGCGCAGGCGCACTTCAGGAACACCTAACCATAGCCTCGCAGGGCGGAAATGATGATCAACGTCTCTTCGAACGCCAAGGGAATGGAGATACCGATGCTGGCGAGTTATGCATGTGGAGTCCGTTTCTGCAAGACAATGGCCGAATGCGTGGTGTCCTTGGCACTGTCAGCAGCTTACTAGACCTGTCAACAGCAAGTCCGAAGCACATTTACATACCAAGAAATGACACAAGCTTCTGCATAACTGCATCTCGGAAGACAGTTGTGCAAGATATATCACCACAAAACTCAAAAGGGAAGTGGAATCCAATATGACGCATACCCTTGTCCAGTTGTTCCACACTTGTTTGCCAATCTGTAGACAAATGAGATTCGATGTGCACTACGAAACCTAGCCTTCAATTATCTATTAACAGCTTCCTCTTCCGAACCATATGACAGCAATCAAATGCCCAACATTGATCTTCCTGGATCATAACTGGAAAGATTTCTAGAGCAATACAAGAATGTTCCCTGGAAAGAGAAAGAGAAACAAGACCGAGTGGGCCTGAATAATCGAAAGAGACTTGGGAGATACGTGAAGGAGATGAAGAGAGAATAGAGAGAGACATGAAAGACACATGGAGTGGAGAGAGAGACACACGTGGTTAACCAGGGATATTATTTTCCGCAAATTTTGCACGGAAATTGTAATATTGTCCTGACTTTTTTTTTTTTTCCCCTTGTTTGTCCTTTTGTGTGACATACGTTTTATGTTATGTCATATATCCAGTTTTTACATGTTTGGATCAAAATCGAAAAGTTGGCATTCCATTGAATTCGTTGGACGCTTCATTTTAGCATGGGAAGTGTTTTGTGTTAGGGCTTTGTTTTTTGTTGTTTTTTTTCCGTTTTTTTTGGCCTTTTTTTTCTTTTATGTTTGCAGTATGGGCCCATATCGTTTGCTTTTGAAAACTTTGCAGAGTTTTGCACCGAAATTGCCAGCAAAACAACGAATATCCAGCCCCCAGTTAGCCATCTGATCTCTCAGACAGAGACACAGACAGGGACAGACCCAGACCCAGACCCAGACCCAGACAGAACCAGAGACCACACAGAGAGCCAAATAATTTGAAAGCATAGTCGCGGCGCACCAGTGCGCAGTGTGGTGCGGGGCGGTGCGCACTGCGCTGTGCGCTGGACGGACCGCACGCACTGTGCACAGTGCGGTGTGCCCTGTGCACGATAAAGAAAAAGAAATAAAAAAAATTGAAAAAAATATTAAAAATCAGGTCCCACAGAGAGAGAGAGAGAGAGAGAGAGAAAAAAAAAACAAAGGGTCCCCTTCACATCAATTTGAGGGGCCCTGCGGGTACCTCGAATAGCTCCTACAATATATGTGGAGTCATTGAGGGCCTCGTCATCTGTGGAAAAGGTGGGGCAGACCACCAATACATGCTTTGGATACGAGTTCAGGGATGTAGCTCGGCAGTTATGGGTCACCAATTCACCTAGAGCTTGTTCATATCTCCACGTGATACTCAGGGCCTCCCTCCACCACTCACCAAATGTATATAATATTAGCAGAATGAATCTTCTGCTAAAACATGGAACCATACACCGCCATATGTTGTCTTTTGTGCATGTGGCGAGTAGTGGAGCAGGCCCCACTGTACATATTCGTAAGAAAACAAAAACACAAAAACGAGAGAGCTACGGGCATCTTCATCCTCCCCCCACTCACCAAATGTATGTAATATTAGTAGAATGAATCTTCTGCTAAAACATGGGACCACACACCGCCACATGCTATTTCTTTTGAGCATGTGGTGAGTAGTGGAGCAGGCCCCACTTTACGTATTCATAAGAAAACGAAAACAGAAAAACGAGAGAGCTACCGGCATCGTCATCCTAACCCATAACTGCCGACATGCAGACCTGAACGCCATCTTCAGCATATATTGGTGGTCGACTGGCCGTGGAAAATGCAACTTGTGACTTCTGCGAAGCTTCACGAGGCAGGTTGGTACTAGACGATTACCCCCTTCTTGCGAACGTACCCCACACAGCGTGGAATTTGCAGAAGGGAGGGGGAATAAGCCCTATTTTATGCTTCGGCATTTTGAAACTTCTGGGGGTAGGGCCTGCGGAAATCAAAATTTGGCAGCCCTTACCCAAAAAAAACATCCGGGCTGGGGGCGCGGCCGGTTTCCGAGCAAGCGTGGTGAGTTTAACATTTTTGCCGAGTTGGGGGGCCTAAGGAATGACAAAACCCCTATTTATTTTTTTGGACCTAATTTTTCCAGTGCGGTGCGCTTCGTTGCGCTGTGCGGTGCGCTTCGTTGCGCTGTGCCTTAGGCCGCAACCATGCTCGAAAGCAAAAACGTCCAAGATTGAGCTTCCTGTACCAATACTTTAAAAAGAGCTTTATGGCTCTGCCTCCCATATGCATTCCCACCTGTAAGCATAGTCATGCCGCCGGTTGGCACCCATGGATTGGTCGGGGGCCGACCAGCCAACCGTCAGACTGGTAGGCACCTTCTGGTCGGAGGTCAGTCGGCACCCCGCAATTTTTTATTTTTTTATTTCTTTTGGGTCCAGAACCCCAACTAACCCCATCAACACTCCCATAGCCCCTCCCAACACCCCCATACACCCCCCCAACGCCCCAATACCTCCCCCTAACACCGTCATACCCCCGCTTAACCCTCTACAACCCCCCATAACCCCCCAAAACCATTTATTGCGGATTTCGGCTGCTCTCCTCAAGCCGGGCACGACCACGTAATCAGAAAAATGAAATAAAATTGCAAGGCAGTCTGCCGACCGCCGACGGGTCCGCCTATGGGTCGTCCCGACTGGTAGGCGCAGCACGCCTACCGCCTACGGCCGTAGGTGCCAGAACTACCCTGCCGGCAAGTCAAAACAAAATGGACTGTTACAACACACTCCACGTTAAGGGGGATAAAAAAAACAACAACACAGCACACTACACGCTTCTCCCCTTTATGGTAGAGAGACCAGAGTGGACGGCATTGATTGATGGAAAGCCACATGGAAGACACATGTAGCAGAGAGA